TCAGGTTGTAGTTGTATCAGCTATTGTTACATACGTTTGCGCATTGGCAGAAATCCATGTTTTGTCTCATGACATTGACTTATGTCAACGGACTGTCTACGTCATTGTTTGACATTACTGTCAGTATAATAATGAAGATGACGGAAAGCCCTAATTCCGAGTAACAATGGAAAACGAAAAAACTCCACAGGGACGATGGAGTTTTTTCGTTTTCCATTGTCACTCGGAATTAGGGCTTTCCATCATCTTCATTATTATATGTATCTTTTCGGTCGAGTAACCGACAAAAATTATCACCCACTCCTATGTATTACTGTCAGTGTCTTCTTACCCCATTCAATTGGATTTGAACACGTTCGGGCTGTTTGCCTATCCATTTGAATGATATTCCCCTTTTTAGTAGCGCTTCCATAGGGAAACGTGAATACCCTTTTGTGAAACTTCGTTAATAGTATGGTGTTGTCAGATTGTTTCGGGCGATTACCCTTCATATACCATGGTATAAAGAATATGCACGAAGCCCTATTCTCATTGAGAACCCGTTATCAAGTAAACTATCAAGAGACTTTGAGCATCGGCCAGGGCCTCACCAACCAGGGCCTACTCTAGGTGAGATAGAGTAGGCCCTGCACCAATCGTCCGGGTAGTGCTCACTTTCCGGACGGTTCTTCTTTCAGAAAGTAGCAGTTTTCTGGCCAAGTCCAAGAGGTATGTACCTCCCGGACTAGGCCGGAAAGTATCACATCGTTGTTGTCGCTGTAATATGAAAATCTTGGTTTATAGATATGGTTTGCATACATGCAGATGATAATTTTACCATAGCAGCGAAACATCGGCTGACAGAAATTTGACATAAAATTTGTTAACATTTCGATTTTTGATAGTTCGGTTGTGATTATCGCAATAAACCATCAAAAGCAGCTTCGATAGTGAGTTTATTGAAAATGTCCTTACGAAATTTCAAATGTAACAGTTAGTAAGTATAGGAATTCTATTCAAATTCCAGTATTCGATACAAATGAGAATCAATGAAGGAGGAAGTATATTTTACAAAGGAATATAATATAGAGATGTGTCTCATTGATTTGTTATTCTTCATGCTTGTCGGGAAAAAAGTGCACGCAATACGTCCAAAAACAGTTCTTTTGGACTCGCAGACTTCCAGCACTCGCCTACGGCTCGGCCTAGAATTTCATCAACTCGTCCAAAAAAACAGTATTTTCCGGACTTGTTACGTGTATTATTATATTATTCAGTAGCATCATACATCAACATCAACTCAAAATAAGACGAAAACAGATAATGTACCTATTTCTTTCACATACGACTTTTTGTATTGCAGAACTTCTAATTGAACAAAATATAGTCTTTCATAAGACCGAAACATGTTCCTTCTGATTCTATAACAACACCATAAAAATTTCTGAAGAGGAATCCGAGCATTCCTTCCTTCCTTCTGAAATACCTATGGTATTTTTGAAATAGGTGCACATATCCAGCACAATAATATGATGCAATCTGAGGAATATTTCCATGATATCAGTTTTTTTTATTCTCTTGATTAACAAGAAATCCCATTTGAACAAAATACGAAAAAATATCAAGTATGCCACTTTGAAACAGTTCAAATGATTGAACTCAGCGTGATTGTGCCTACCGCTTGGAAATTTGAACAGTGGTGACGTAATATTTGCTACAGTGTAGAGCTTTGGGTGGGAAAAGGGGTCTAACCTCAAATTTCATATTGTGTCCTGAATTTTTCATTAGTGCCATTCTATTGTGAACGTCGAGTTTTCTCAGTGTTTGGATTATTTGAACTTGTTTCAATGCCACCCTGTTTATGAGTGTTCAATTGTTGACTACACTTTGAGAAACTAGGAATTTTTACCAATTATTCTATATTTATTTGTTTATGATTTTGGCTTATAGATTGAGAGCTTGTCAAACAGATGAAGTTACCATATCTTACTACTATCAAAAACATACTAGTCCATATATTTTCCTGATCTCTTGGCTGTTGAACTACATAGCCAACAAAGTTCGGTTCTCATTATCTTCTAGAGAAAAAACCCATATTGTTCGTTATTTTCTCCATTTCTTGGAGGTAGGTACTTGATCCTTTTTCCAACTTCTAACTCTTGGAGATTAGGAGCTGTTGGAGATACTCTCTTCGACAGAGATAACCAAAGCTTTTTTGTTCGATAGACAAATAGTAGGAGAGCCAGCTGCGAATTCCGACCGGCATCTGATATCGAAATGTTATAATTTCTTTCCATTAGCAGGTGAACACGTTCAATAATTCCGAACAGCAGCTTTACTATAGTAACTTTCCTGAGCAAGGAGATTGGAAAATTACACTTTTCTGTGAGATTATTTGCATTCAATCCTGCGTTTTGATAACGAGATGAAAATTTTGTCATTCGATACCAAATGGACGGTAGATCTCGAAAACTTACCTGTGTCACCGCTTGATCTGAGTCAAATTCGCCGTTTACGTAAGTCATGTGATGACGAGTTGGAACAATAAAACGTCAATGAAAGGAGATAATGGAGGATCGTACAGGGAGAAGAGGAATGGATTATTGCTCATGATCGAAAATCGAATAGAAATTTGTTCCTGGGACTTATATATGGGACTGCTTATCATAATACTAGCGTCTAGAAACTATATAAAGAATGTACATTCGATTTGTTGAATGTTTTGGGTATAGCGTGGGGTCTGTATCCTGAACTTCAATCTACATTTTTGTTTTTCACATAAAAAAGAATTATTTGAGAATGAAATTACATTAGATGAAAAAAAAAATATATTTTAAAAGGAAAATTATACGTCGTCCCCTCTATCATTATCTTCAGAGTCATCTTCGCTCTCGCTGTCTGAAGATGATTCTGCAGAGATGTCATCAGTACCTGTTAGTGAGAATATCATTTTGATGGGATATAATTTTTGAAAAATGTTGGCATGATCGGAAGATATACCTGATACTTTCTCAGTTGGAGTCTCAGAGATCATGATGTCACCAACCTCTGCTGGAAGGGCTTCACCAAGGTACCAATTGAAATCGTAGCCACCGTTCTTCAAAATCCATCCCCAATCGAGGGGCTCGAGATCTGTTGGTACTTTGAGATGAGCTCCGCTCCATAACTGAGCTACGAAAGTAGCACGCCTGATTTGCTGTTCTAACTCAGCCTCACAAGGCGGCAGCCGTGAAGAGTCGTACTTAAATAATTTTTTCAACAACTTTTCTGATGTTTTCTCCGGCTTATAAGTTGCAGAATACACCGTCAATCTGACCTCGTTAACACTCTACCCCGCTGACGCAGCAAATCATTGTTCAGATATGGAAATTGTTTTGCAAAAAAAAAAAAATTACTTCAAACCCGGAATTCATATTTCTGGCACAATTTGACAATTTGGCGCATGATCGAAAGTGCTGCATGTGAATGATAGATATCCCTAGATGCTGTAGCTGTATTCGTCATGATAATCTCAACTCGACAGTGAATTGAAATATAGTGTTCCAGAAGAAAAAATCGAAAAAATTACCCCATAGTTCATTCGTTGTGAAAATCTTGTGAATTTCTTAATAACAATGAAAAATTTCTTAGTAAAAACATTTTAATTGGTTTTTGAAATTTTAAAATTGGTTCAGAAACAACTAAGTTACAATGGGAGATATTCATGGTGAACCACCCTGTACGGAATGTACGAATTGTTTGCAAACCATCATCTCATATTTATATACTGTGTGGTCCACTAACCATGGTGGAAATCTGAAAATTTCCTCGATCATCGATTATTTGAAGGATATCCAGTCAATTGATGTTCGAATATAAGTCGAGCTCCCCACTCCGGAATCGTATGCAAATGTCGCGAAACTGATCAATCGGTCAGAATTTAATGTTTCGCCAAAGGGCACATATTTTCAGATCATCGACTATAACAATGAAAAATTGCCACTTCCGGTTCGTATGCCGACCTTGTGGAGTGACTTAGGCATATGCAAACCAGCAAGCGCCCCAATTTTCGTGAGATAAGATCATTGCACTTCATTGCCGAGCTTCTTCTTAAAAAAAAAATTGAACTATTTTCCAACTGGAACGTGAGGTCAGGGCCGTGGCAAGGACTGGGTTGCGACTCTTCGAGGCACTCCTTCCTGTTAACTTGGACTTAGTGAGTGCGGGTCCCTTGAATGGCATACCGACTTAGAACATCGATAAACCCTGTGTCACGGGCCAACAGTCTGATATCATATTTCTTTGTAGAATAAAATTTCTTCTTTATTGATTCTCATTTGTATCAAAAACTGAAATTTGAACAGAATACCTATACCTACTAACTCAATTTCGTATGGACATTTTCAAACTCACTATCGCAGCTGCTTTCGATAGTTCATTGCGACAATTGCAACCAAGAATTAAAAATTTCAAAAATCAAAATGTCAACTTATTTCATGTCAAATAGCTGTCAGCCGATATTTCGCTGCTATCATCTGCATTTATCAAAACCATGTCTACCAAGTAGCAACAGTGCGACAACAACGATGTGATGCTTCTTGGCCTAGTCCGGGAACTACATACTTCCCGAGCTACACCGGAAAAATGCTACTTCCTCAAAGAAAAAGCGTCTAGGAAGTGAGCACTTCCCGGACGGTTGCCGAAAAACAATATTTTCGCTCTGAATGGAAATTCGAGTTCTTGTGCAATAGCTTCCACGATGAAACATCAAAAACGATTATAACATTCAATGAGATATACTGATTTGCCATCTAGATTTCCTCGCCCCACTCTCTCTATAGTATCTGAATCTGTCGATATCATGAGTATTATATTGATGGGAAATTTGATATCAAGGCTTATATTCTATTTGAACTGATTTATTTACATTGTTCTATTTCTTTGATCATCCAAAAGTTGAGATATCTGAAAAAATTTGAGTCCAAACTTATATACCTAGCATTATTTATTCGCTACACATTTTTGAAACCAATATTTTTCAGCAATATGCAGGCCAAATCCGAAAGTGATACGCATCTGTACAGGAGCAGAAATGAAGAAGATGTGCGCACCAAAACCTTGTGTCTGCCCTAAAGGTCGGAGACCATCCAAAGGTACTATACTTATTATGTTGAAAAGCTTTCATTCACTCAAATCATCTACATCTGTGAGAGCTCTAGTCCAGAACTATATCAAGTTCAGATCATCGTTCATATTATTTAAAATCCACTTTTTACCTAATGAGAGGTCGAAGTACGCACGGCTTTTCATCATCATGTAAAAACCATACCATTCAGAACTCGGGATTTGATCATACATTTTTCCCGATGTTCATTAAATCCTCTGCCATCGTGGAAGATACCAGATGGCGTTAGCCGAGGGGAATCACGTTCTGAAAACGAAAATACTGGTGAATAGCGAAACTAATGACTGGTCTGAATTTCAATATCTTCAAATTTTTCTGATGATCAAATTAATGGAGTGGAAAGTATCTATATATGCACTATCTGTATGTCCTTAAAGTGACACAAAATATCTCGTTTTATTCAACCATCTGTTTGATCGGAAATAGACCCAACTTTTTCTCAAATGTCATCTTGTATATTTCTGTAGCCTTTCTTATTCGCCTCAAAATTCTCTATCAACCACCTATTATAGAGAATTGCCATTGGGTTCAAGAAAAGCGCCAACATCGATAATATAACCCTCGTGAATTTCAAATTCTTATCTCTCCAGATAAAAAAAAAACTACAGGCTGTGACATGTCTCCTGTGTCACCCGGTATATCGTGAGAGCCAACTGCATATTTTGACCGTCATCTAATAACGGAATGGTAATTGTTTCAAAGGCATGTGAGAACATTGTTTTCAATAGAGAATGATTGATATAGTTATTTTCCTAACAAGTGCGCAAAGTGTTACTTTTCAGCACGCAAATACAGTTAAGCGAACGACGTGGAGCGAATAAAGAATGAAGTTCGAATAAGTTTTTGCGTGCGGAAAATACACTTTGCGCACGTCTCAGGAACAACTTTTTTCCTACGAGCTTCATATCAGATAAAAAGAAAAATAAAAAAGATGTATAACTCATTGAAAAATGTAACTATACAACAATCACATATAACAATGAAATATAATAATAGGAAATCATATTTTCCCTACGAGCTTCATATCAGATAACAACAAAAATAAAAAAAATTCAACTTATATTACAATTTATTGATTATTTTTAGTTATACTTGATAGAAATAGCTAAACAACAAACAATTAAATATCAATAAGATATAATGATAAAAAATTTAATTATTTGTTCCTGATATCTATATTGAGGTGGAATACAAATATTGGGAAGAACGGTTTAAAAGTAAAAGGGATAATGGCTTCTTATAGTGCATACAATAGTCTACAGCAACTGAAATGAATATAAATGTTCCATACCTGTGAGATTTTCGGGTAGTATTACTTATCCGCACGCCGTGCGGATAACACTCGTATTCGCACTGGGTGCGGAAGAGTATTATTTTGCCCACATAAATGAGTGCGGAAAATTACTACTTTGCGCACGCTCGTAGGAAAAAGCACTTTCCTAAGCGTTAGGTTGCACTCAATTCCGCGGTTTGATAACAAGATAATAGACTGTTGGCCCGCGACACAAGGTTTATCGATGTTCTAAGTCGGTATGCCATTTAAGGGACCCCACTCAGTCCGAGTTAACAATAAGAAGTGTCTCGGAGAGTCGCAACCCAGTCCTTGCCCCGGCCCTGACCTCACCTTTCGGTTGGAAAAAAGTTCAAAATTTTGTTTGAGAAGAAGCTCGGCAATGAAGTGCAATGATCTTATCTCACGAAAATTGGTGCGCTTGCTGGTTTGCATACGCCTAGGTCACTCCCCAAGGGTGGCATACGAACCTGAAGTGGCAATTTTTCAGTGTTATATTCGATGATCGAAGAATGTATGCCCTTTGGCAGAACAATGAATTCTGACCCATTAATCAGTTTCCCGACATTTGCATACGATTCCGGAGAGGGGAGCTCGACTTATTCGAACATCAATTGACTAGACATCTTTCGAATGATCGATGATTTAAGTTCGTATGCAAATCTCTAGACCGATAAACTAGGATATTCTTTATAACTGGCTGCTATTTGCATACGAATTCAATGTGAGCATACGTTGTTATAATCGGACAAACCCGCGAGTGCCTCGGTCCGGCGCGGAGCCCCGCACTTCAGGCCTGAGGTGCACCGAAAGCGAACTAGATTATCGGGAGGTCTCATAATCTCACTTCACATGGGAGTGATGGGGATATTCGAAGACGCAAATTGCAGATATATTTGTATATATTCATCAGAAATTTACAGCTCAACAAAATTACATGTGTAAGAGGTTTAGTACCAAGAAATTTTTTGTGTGATTTCAATTTGTAAAACAGGGCTTTGAAGAGATTATGAAAAGAAATGACAACAAGATACTCGCAGGATGATCAAGAAAAATCGTACATGGAGAAGAGGGGTGGATTATTTCTCATGATCGAAACTCACAATAAATCGAATTGAAATTCTTCCCTGGGGCTTATGGGACTGCTTATCATAATACTGGCGTCTTAAAAATATATAAAGAATGTACATTCAATTTGTTGAATGTTTTGGGTATAGTATGAGGTCTGTATCCTGAACTTCAATCTACATTTTTGTTTTTCACATTAAAAAAAATATTTGAAAATGAAATTATATTAAATGGAAACAACATTATGTTTCAAAAGAAAAATTATACGTCGTGCTCTCCATCATTATCTTCATAGTCATCTTTGCTCTCGCTGTCTGAAGATGATTCTCAAGAGTTGTCATCAGTACCTGTTAGTGAGAATATTATTCAATTATTGAAAAATCCCCGCATGCTCGAAAGATATACCTGATACTTTCTCAGTTGAAGTCTCAGAGATTATGATATCACCAACCTCTGCTGAAAGAGCTTCACCAAGGTACCAATTGAAATCGTACCCAAAAAAAGTATCAAGGGCCCAGCCCCCTTCATTTTTTTTATGTATAATGATGATGTGACAATGACATAACTTCATCAAACCCAGTATAGTTGACTGGCGTTTAGCGATAAGATTCACACGCTGCACTTATATACAGGGTTACTGGTAATCCGATTCATATAGGTAGTAAGAAGTGAATAAATCTGTAATATACATTATACAAAAGTAAATGGTTCTGCAGATTTTGAAATATCGAATCTCCGATAAAAGGAAAGAACATTATTGAATGCCTAAATCATTACGTGCTACACTCTATCCGGCTGACGCAGCAAATCATTGCTCAGATATGAAAATTGTTGCAGCAAAAAAGAAAGAAATACTTAAAACTCGGGATTCATATTTCTGGCACAATTTGACAATTTGGCGCATGATCGCTATAAGAGTGCTGCGTGTAAATGATATCGCTAGATGCTGTAGAGCTGTATTCGTCATGATAATCTCAACTTGATAGTGAAATGAAATATAGTTTTTCAGTAAAAAAAATTAACCACTATCCCATAGTTCATTTGTTATGAACAGCCTGTGAATTTTCTAATAACAATGAAAAATCTCTTAGGAAAATCATTTTAATTGGTTTTTGAGATTTTAAAATCGGTTCAGAAACAACTATAAGTTACAATGGGAGATATTTATGGTGAAACACCCTGTACGGAATGTGTAAATTGTATGCAAACCATCATCTCCTATATACTGTGTGGTCCACTAACCATTGTCAAAATTTGAACATTTCTTCGATTATCTATTATTTGAAGAATATCCAGTCAAATGATGTTCGAATAAATCGAGCTCCCCTCTCCGGAATCGTATGCAAATGTCGGGAAACTGATTAATGGGTCAGAATTCATTGTTTCGCCAAAGGGCATACATTCTTCGATCATCGACTATAACACTGAAAAATTCCCACTTCCGGTTCGTATGCCGCTCTTGGGGAGTGACCTAGGCGTATGCAAACCGGCAAGCGCCGCAATTTTCGTGAGATAAGATCTTTGCACTTCATTGCCGAGTTTCTTCTTAAACTATATTTTGAACTTTTTTTAACCGAAAGGTGAGGACAGGGCCGGGGCAAGGACTGGGTTGCGACTCTCCGAGACACTTCTTATTGTTAACTCGGACTGAGTGAGTGGGTCCCTTAAATGGCATACCGACTCAGAACATCGATAAACCCTGTGTTGCGAGCCAACAGTCTATAAGATTATGGCATCCGATATTGATTGAAGGGGCTGCATATAATTCGTCAGAACGTATTCTATCAACACCGTATTATATCAAAATATATTCGATCAAAATGGTATTTCAACAGAACCGTAATTGAACGGAGCAGTAATTCATCGGCATGCAAAACATCATAATGTGATCTATCATGTTGTAAAATGAAGAAATGTACTTCATAAGAACGTAAAACATCATACCGTACTTTATAGAAATGGTAATTCATCATAACCGTATTCCATCAGAATGGTATTTCATCAGAATCGTATTCTGACAGCACGGTGTATCAACAAAACCGTATTGAATAAAAGAGGCAATTCATCAGAACCGTATTTCGTCGCTTCAGTAATATATCATAATGGTAAATCGTCATGATGGTAAATTATCAGAACTGTAATCCGTCGGAATATTATTTTGTCAGCAGTGTATAGTATCGGTACTGTAAAACATCATAACCGTATTTTAACAGAACTGTAAATCATCAGAACTGTGTTTCATAAGAACCGTAATTCATCGCTTCCGTATTTCATCAGCATATCAATGTATCATAATCGTATTCTATCAGAACGCCAAATCATCATAACCGTATTTCATCAAAACCGTATTCCATCAGAACCGTATTGTATCAGCACGGTATTTCGTCAGAATGGTGATGCATCGTCGGTACAGTGCCCTATCGGGAACGGATTATCGATTTTCTGTCCGCTTTTCAGGTATGCTATGCGATGGCGCTGGTGAATGCATGTAAGATAACATAAGTATCTGATCAGAATGACTATTATAACATGAAATATGTTATTCTGAATGAGATCTCGATAGAATTTCACCTCAAGAATCTTTGTAAGCTTCTCAATATAGCTTCTCA